GTGCCGTGGGATTCGGCGTGCACAATCAGTCTTGTGGACAGAACACGGCAGACATACTAGAGAGTCAGGCCTTGTGGTTGATAGTCTAGTTTCGCATATCGCGGCTGCAACATGGATGCTACACACTGTGATCCGCGCGTTCTGTTGGAAGTTGTGAATCGGTGCTGCTGTTGTCGTTGGTGGGGTGATCACGGAGGAATGCCATGCTGCTGCTGCTGCTGCTGCTGCTGCTGCTGCTGCTGCTGCTCGTGGTCGACCTTGGTTGTGACACACCTCTTTTTTTTGCGTCAATGAACAGGGTCGGACTTCTGCTGCGCTTCGGACGTGTTGATGTCGGGCATCATCTGCGGCAACGGGGTCGAAGCTCCCTGCATCATCGAGAACTACACCCCGGCACCCATGGGTGTACCTGGAGAAGTGCAACCCTTCGGTGCGTTACGTTTGGTGTGACGTTGGTGTCGTACTTGGCTGTTGTCGTCCGTTACATTTGTTGTTGTACGTTCTTCCTGCCGTGAGAACCAGTTGGTTTTCGGCGCTCCTCCTCGAGACGTCCTTCCACGCGTTTTTTGTCGCTGCTGCTCTGTTGCTGTCGTTGTCGTTGTTGTTTTCGGTGTCGCCGTCGTTGGTACGGTGCCTTGAAGGACACCATTTCCATCCGCCAAAACGTCGCGCTGACTTCCACAATGACTCGCACCCGCTTAATCCGTCGGTGTTCGTTTCTCTGTCTCGATCGTGTGTGTACGTGTGTATGTTGTGCGCGCCTGCGTCTCGTCCATTCAGCGGCATCTGTGTGCTCGAACGGGCTGGCCGGAGTCCAGGACCAAAACATTTGGTGGGTTGGGGTTACGGTTGCTGAGGAAGAGTGTGTGTACACGCTGTTCCACTGCTGTCATTATACTTGTTTCGCCAAACCACGAGATACATTTCGTCGGAAAGCTGCGCAAACATTTGTTTTTCCATGCGAATGGCGGTACGGGATCGAAATCTTTAGGTGGTGGGTGCTGAGAGCAAGTGTCGAGCGCTTCTGAATCGTGCGTAGCCAGCACGACACCAACGTGAGAGTGCACCAAGTCTCACCAATCGTGAAACCCTCAAAAACTCTCAGAAAATTCTTATGGACACAGAAAGAGGGGGAAACACCGTCCGGAACGTTCCTCCAATGAATATTTTGCCAGCGTCTCTGAGCCATGCGTGGCCAAACAAGTCTCGTCTTACGAGTGCTGTTTATCATTGTTAATGTGGGTTGCTCCGACCCCCGCCTGGATCCCTCGTGCCTAGTCTCGGCGTCGTTCGTCCCTACCTATGGTCTGGGACAATTTGTCCATTTTGATTTTTCGCGATATCTTTCGAAAGAAGTCGATTCAGGAGGAATACAAGCCATCTTGGTGTTCCGCACAATAAGGCGAGAAACATATATATGTATTTTTTTTTTCACAGCCCAACACTAATATTGAGTGAATTCTGAGCTACCCCTCCGAAAGATATGTTGGAGACTGGGAGAAAACCAGGGTTTTGGACAAAAAACGGAATATCCCGCGAACCAGATTTTTAATTGAAGTTTGGAAAAAAAAAACACGTGGGGATTGTCGAGAGGAATCGATTGCCGCACTTTTTTAACAAATCGTACGGTTCAAAATCGCAGGAAAAACTAAGCCAAATGGCACCCCAAATCCAGTTTTGTCCGTAACGTCTTGATTTTTTGCTCAAATCCAAATCCGGTCTCAGAATTGTTGTCTGACAAATACCTACCCCAGGAAAAACTCAGCCAATAATACGGGATATTGGCAAATAACGGAGAAGCGGAGGAAAAAAATAAAAATCGCCTTGCATACATCGATGCGCCTGGAAACAGGGCGTTTGCCGGTACTTCGGATTTCGGAATAACCACCTGTGTGCAGAGAAAAGTGCACCTAAGCGCCGGACGGAATTGTCGTCAATCCGGTGCAGATGTATAATGTCGAAACCAGCGATAGTGTCGGTCCTGTCCTGCTTCCACCCTGCTTCTCGCCTTGCTATCCGTACAGTAGCGACAATGCTGGTGGTCCGTAGGCGTTGTTCTTGTTGTCCCCACTCTAACCCCCCCCCCTCCCGCTCCGTCCTCTCGAGAGGACTCGCGGTCTAATAACGAAGGCGAAACATGAGTTCGCCTCCCAGCATGTTGCTCCGTCCCGGCATTGCATATAGGGATGCGAGGTCTAACGACTACGGCATGCGTTTGGATGAGGACCCCCCCCCTCCCCCCCCTCATGTAATTCTCCGTGCTCTCGGGAACGCGTGTCAATGGTCTTACGACTACGGCACGCAAAACCTGAGTACGCACATATCGCTCCGTCCCGGCTTGTAGGGATGCGAGGTCAATGTGCGGCATGCACGACTATGAGTACACCCCCCCCCCCCCCCCCCCCCCCCCCCCCCNTGTAAAACAAGCCACTTCACTTCGTGAACTCGGCAACCAGGTGACCGGTTTTTTTTTTACCTCTTGTTTTTTTTGGCGGTAACCATAATGGTGGTCGAGTAGATCATGTTGTGCGGGGT